CTAGAAAGTAGGGGTATAAAATAAGGAGAGAGAGAGAGAGAGAGAGAGAGAGAGAGAGAGAGAGAGAGAGCATGTGTGTGTGTGTGTGCGTGCGTGTGTGTGTGTGTGTGTGTGTGTGTGTGTGTGTGTGTGTGTGTGTGTGTGTGTGTGTGTGTGTGTGAGTGTGTTGTGAAGGAGGGGGGTGGGGGAGGTAAAAATAGTCGACGTGAATGACCGCCGGTCAGTTCTATAAACCACGAGCCGCCACTGTATATATATATATCCCTCTAGTGCTCAGAGTGCCATATCTGGAACATGTCAAATAACCAGCTTCAGGGGAAACAGTAATTAATTTTTGTTATGTTCGGGGATTTCATGAGGTAGGTAACTGGAGAATCATCCTCTGAGTGCCCCTGGGGGATTTTTTTCTGCAGTAAATTCCCCTTTCAACTTCTTGTTTTTTACGAACACCTGTGCTTGAAACAGACAACAGCACCCACTCTTCTTCAGTCTTTCACCATCAACCGTCAGATACATAATTTTGTCAATTTATCCTAATATATGTTTTGAAACAAAGTAGATTTAGATATGTTTTGAAACAAAGTAGATTTAGATATTATCACCATCAAATTCCATGTTCAACATTTACATTTTGATTTATGGGGTTGTTTTTAGGCCTGGACGTTTTTGTGTGCCAGATGTGGAACATTGGGCATTTGAGTCCTGATTTTCTTCACATAGCCCTGTTTCAATGTAATCTTCACATAGCCCTGTTTCAATGTAACATGTCAAAAAGTTCAAGTTGACTGGAAAAAGAAAAAAAAGCAGATTGACTTTATTTCCGTGTAAATACATACACTAAACAGCCTTTAGACTGTATGTAAGGGTTCATAAGGTTAGTGTTCTTTATACAAGTGTATTTGTACAAATTCTGATCTTGAAACGATTGCACTTTGTCAGCAATTAGACTCATGATGATAGCGCAAGCAATGATCGTGTATTGAAACTCCGTCCGTGAATCAGTGATTTAAAATCTAATATCAAAAAGATTATTCCGTCTGAGCATCAGTGTGTTGATGAAATTATGGTACCGGTATCTTTCAAAGGTCGGTGTAGTCTGAAACAATACATTGGGAACAAACCCCACAAATGAGGTTTCAAGTTGTGGGCTCGTTGTGGAAGTGAAGGCACTCTGCACGACTTTGATGTGTATCAAGGTTCAAATGGAGCTCATATTCGTAGATCAGAACTAGGCATGGGAGGTGATGTTGTCATGGACATGGTGAAGAACTAGGAGGATGGAAAGAATTACAACATTTTTGCTGACAACCACTTTTCGATCGTGAACTTGGTGAAACAATTGAAGGAGAAAGGACTGCTATATGTGGGAACCGTCCGTGAACACTGCTTGAAAGGTTGCAAGTTGAAGGCAGAGAAGGAGCTAGCAAAAGAAAGTACGGGAAGCATGGACAGTCTAGTCGATGCTGACTCCAATATCGTCGTCGTTCGATCGATGACAAGAAAGTTGATGTGATTTTATCATATGTTGAACCAGAACCTGTTGAGAACGTTGCCAGGTGGGACAAAACACTGATTTTAAAAATGCAGTGAAGTGCCCTGCTGTAATTCGCACGTACAACAAACACATGGGAGGCATGGGAGGGGTAGATTTACTTGATTGTCTCACCGCTCTCTACAAAGTAAAAATCAAGACTCGCCGATGGTACATTTATTTGTTCTAGCACACAATCACTATGGTGGTAGTCACCATGATGCTTCAGCAGCCCAAAGTCAAGCTATGTGACTTCCATCAGTCGATTGCTGACAGTCTGGTTACCGTCGAAAGGTTGCCAGGGCGATCTGTAGCTGGGAGTCCTCAGTTTCTCTCATGCTCTAGCATTCAAGTGAGCCCCCCAACTGTCGACACACAGTTCGATCGCATGGATCATCTTCCTCTCCACGCCGACCGGCAATAATGCAAACGCTCCAGATGTGACTCAAGGACCTACATCATGTGTAGGAAGTGCATGGTTCATCTCTTCTGAACAAGGAGCGAAACTGTTTTTAAGAATTGAACGCAAGAAGAACATTATAACTTTGTTAAATGCTACCCAGTGTGACATATCTGACACATAATACCCAAATGCCCATTCTGCCATATATGGCACGGACTGTAACTGTGTATTAAATACAAGGTTTAGATGAAAGAAACTTTCAAATCTGGTTATTGTACTTCCTCTTGAACATGTTCTGTGAAAATGAAAATTTTCAGTCAATGATTTCTATACCTGGGCACTAGAGGGATATATATATATGTTATATATTATATTTATATATATATATATATATATATATATATATATATATATATATATATATATATATATATATAATAATATATATGTATATATTTCTGTATT